CCTCTCGCCATTTCCGAATGGAACCAGTCGCCATCATCTATAGTTACCATTAACGACTCTACAGCGTTCCTGAGTGCTCTTCAAACCCATCTTATGTGAGTGCTATTTTGCTGTTTCATATTTTGTATAACGTTTACTACGATTCTTCTTTCTTTCTTTGTATTATTCTTCATTAGTGCGTTTTTCTGTTGTTTTATATGAATAAACTGCCCCCCCCCCCTTTTTGTTATGCCCTAACTAGGCCTTTAAAATGAGATAAATGAAATGAATGAATGCAACAAAAATTGGTGCCAGTAGTCCTTTAATGGGGCCGTGAAACGATAATCAGTAGGATTATTTATCACCTTACACCTGCTTACTTGCACTAGTGGGACCCAAGAATACTTGAACTCAATGCCACTGACCAAGAGGCGTCTTCGTCGCGGTGAAAGTCCAGGGATAAAAGCGGACCTTTACTTCCAGTCTCACCTTCGCAAAACATGATGACGAAGCCGCGGGGATAATGCCAACAATGCGATCCCTGGGAGAGCGTAATCAAGATTTGCGATCCCTGCTGTGACAATATTCAAATGCGGCTCATACAGGGAACACGAGTACTGTGTAGGCATTCGATTTTGGCTCGTGACAATCAATGCCTCGACATGCATTTGAGTAGTGACTCGTGCCCACGGTGGAAGAAGCACATTTATGTGGTGACCCTGGCCGCTCTTCCCGCGGGGAGCGAACGACCAGATCGTGTTTGGAGCTAGCCTCGAACTAGGAGTAATTCGTTCCGCGCCGCCACTGAGGGCGCTGAGGTATGACGTCCCGACGTCGCTCCTCGGTGGCAACGGTGTCGGCGGAGGAGCGTGCTCGCCTTTTTCGCGGTGTTTATCAATTCCTGTTTTGTTGTGAAAAACGCGTTGGAAGAATCTTAGTTTTTTCTTCTACCTTCGAGTGTTTCCCATCAAAGCATAGCTTTTATATCTGTAACATTAGCATAAGGGCCATAGTTGTTCAGTACAATGCGCACTGCTTGATTTTGAATTTTTCTAGTTTCTTGATGACGAAGTCGCGATAAGGATCCCACACAACGCACGCGTAATCAAGGATCGTTCTTGGCAAAGAAAAAAAAAGCGTTTTTTTAACGCATCGTGACGCGGATCTAAAATTTCGGCGGATGAAATAAAACATTTTACTAGCTTCTCCGATCGTGCGTTGTATATGGCTGTTCCATTTTAGACAATTTCCAGATAGCACTCCTAGGTAAACACACGCGAAAACAGTACATAAAATGGTACCGTTAATTAGGTAGCTTTGAAAATCGTGCAGCTTGCTTCTCGAGAAACGAAAATGTTTGCATTTAATTAGATTCAGGCTCATTTTCCATTGACTGCACCAAGAAGATAAAATGCTTATGTCGGTTTGCAATATTGCAAGTTCGTCTGATGTGTTTGTTTTGCTGTATAATACGCAGTCATTGACAAACAGTTTAATATGAGGCTGTATATTTCCTTTGATGTTATTTATGTATATGAGAAAAAGTAAAGGTCCTACGACACTCCCTTGTGGCACACCCGACATAACCCGAGTTGATGTGGACATAGTACCGTTTAGGGCGATACCCTGCTCTCGACCTTCTAAATAATCTCGTTTCTCTTTCAGGACGTTTGGATCTATGTTTAGTAAAGCCGATTTATACAAAAATAACTCATGTGGAACCGTATCAAATGCCTTGGGAAAGTCTGAGAACACGCAGTCGAAATATTTCTTGCTGTCTAGTGATCTGGATATCTGATGACAAAATTCTACCAGGTGTGTGTTGACAGAGTAACCGCTTCGAAAACCATGCTGTGAGGGAGAACAGAGGTGTGTCGAATCCAGGAACGAGTATACGGTTACTATAAATAATATCTTCAAACAACTTACGCGAGACCAATGTTAATGAAATAGGGCGATAATTTTCAACACTGGATTAAGACACGGATTTAGAAACAGGCGTGACGTTTGCCATCTTTCAATCCACTGGAACCTTTCATGTTTTTTAAAGATTCGTTGAATATAACAAAAAGAGAACGCACTACAGATTGACTGCACTTAAGAAAAATAATAGGGGCATTGCCGGCAGGTAACAACGGCCTTTGGTTGCATCAGTTCCGCGCAGCAACTTCACGATATCGTTCGTGTCAATTGTAATGCCTGGCATTACGGTTTACTGTCTTTGGTAAGCCACTGGAGATACTAGATGCGGAGACTCTTCCCAAAATACTGACTTAAAACAAGATTTAAAACATTCTACCATCCCGTTATCAAATGCCACTGTACCACCATCAACTGTCAACGCAGGAACAGAAGTGTCTTACTTTTTGTTCGCATTAACAAACTTCCAGAATGCTTTAGAGTTTCTGTTTAGATTTTCGCTAAACTTGTCAAAGAACACTTTTTTTTTTGCATTTTAAGAAGCTTATTGATTTTTTGTACTTCTGCTCAGTTTGGACTGACCAACTTTTGGAAATCTTTTTGTAAGCACGTCTCGCGTTACCTAGAAGTATGCGAATATCCGCATTAAACCATGGTTTATTTTTTTACGCCTCCTTATTAGCTTCGATGGAATATACACCTCCGCTAGCTCTAGCTCTTGGTTTTTAAAAGCATGCCATATAGTTTCAACGTCCCTATTATTTGACAGACGACTGAATGCATAAAAATAGGATTCTGAGTTCTACATTGATCGCTTCGTAATTGCCTTTGTCGCACAGAAATATTTTCCGTGAACATACCGCTTGCTTTCGCGATCTGGGCTCCGAGAGCTTGGCAACAACCGCGCAATGATCACTTATGCTGGGAAGTATAGTGACCTCGACGACTACAACAGGAAAATTTCAGAGATCCAAAACAGCGTTCGCTCGCGTCGGTTTTTTAACCATATTGTTCGATCCCTAATACACCAATCATGTCAGCAAACATTGTGTAAGCGCGGGGCCCATCTGTAGCAAGGACTTCATTAGACCAATTGAATCCTGGCAAATTGGAGTCTCCTCCCAAGAATAGGCTATCTGGAATTGTCGTCAACAAGTTACGTAGTTTGTCTACCGAGTTCGCATCTATCTGGGGGGCGATAAAATGTACCAAAAACTAAAGTGTTCCCTTTAGGTAAAAATACACGACACCATACAGACTCAGTGTTGTTTTCGGAGAAAACGATTTCACCGCTACTCCAGTGCAATGAAATTAGCAAGCACACACCACCTCCGTGTCCATTTCAGTCTTTGCGGTATACAGTAAAATCAGGGGGAAAAACTTCGGAATTAGAAACCGAGTCCTGTAGCCATGTCTGCTCCCCTAATAACTTTGGGTTTGATTGTCTAGAGCTAAGAAATCGTCCACTTTATCTTTTATGCTACGGAAGTTCACGAGTAATACCGAGGCGTCGACATCTGATAAAGCGGCGTTCTGACAGAAATTTCTCGCACTGCGTCAATCCTGCTGAATTGTTGCAGCCTTTCTACGAACGAGGACAGTCGTGCTTTGTTCAAAATACCAGGCGTACGTGTCCCCGTTGATAACCAGCTTGTCGTAGGTAAGATATACTTTGTTGTTCTTATCTTGTCTTTTTTCTTTTGAGTAGTCCCATAGCTTGCGCCTTTTTTCTCTGACGAGTGCACTGAAATTCTCGGAAACGCTGTAAGCAGAGTTTTTGAATTTAAAGGCGTTGCGCATGATGTTAAAAACATTGGCGCACATAATCGGCTCCAAATCACGTGGCCACTTTTTCCAGCTGCGACCTTAGGGGGTAAAGGGTGTTCTTCTAGAGTGCAGTTATTAGGTGCCCGTTTTCGGCTTGAGCGACTTCGCCGTCGCCGTCACCGCCGGGGCAACCGCGCGTTGCATTTTAGGAAACCTCCCATAATTACGTAACACGTGACGCCACGTGTGACGTCACAAGGGTCACGAGTGACGTCATGAGGGTCCCGCGCGTTGCATTATGGGAAACGTCCCATGATGCAACGCGCGGGACGAAGGTCACTTTTGAATATCACGACGAAGGTCACGACCTTCACTGTGAAGGCCACGATCCTCACGAGTGAAGTCATGAGGGTCACAAGTGACGTCACGAGGAGGGAGAGGAGGAGAGGGAACTGGAGGGGGAGGAGAGGAGGAGGAGAAGGAGATAAGGAGGAATGAAGGGGAGGAGGTGAGGGGCATACCCTCCTTTCCGTACCCTCCCCTCCTCCTCCTCAAAAGCTGCGCTCTAATTCGGCATTACAGGAAGTTGTAAACGTCTTTCATTTTTTTTTCAGTATTTTCTACGACTGATTTTGCGTAAACAAAACACTAGCAAGAAAAAGAAAGTGTTTTATGGGTTATAAATGTCAAAAACAATTCTAAACTGTATTTATCGAAAGTACAAAAATTGTTTCATCGCCCCAAATTTAGGCTCACGACCTTTTCCGAAATTAAGTCTGGCCAGCTCAATAACTAGCATCACCTAAGTGTATAGCATCTGTACATGCTATGGCTGCGTTGTGACGGCGGAGGAAATAAGAATTTGAAGACAGGCACCGACACGGAGCCTGAACCTTCCATACGTGTAGTCCGCTTTACTATTGTTCGATGTCAGCGTGACTAGACTTACGAGCTTCTGTGCGCTACGCATTTTAGGGTGTCATAGGAACCTTTGGAATACTCGGCTTTGGCACGGATTAGACAACTCACGACAATAATTTGTAGCGAATGTTATCGAGAGATTTACTCAAGTTAAACTCAAGTAAGCTCCTCGTACAGAGTGATAGTGCCTTGACACCATTAAAACTAAAATGATTGGAACAAAGAAAGAATCGTACAGCGAAAAGCACCATGACTTTCGTATATCTGCCATTGAAGAATAGATACTAGATTTTAAACGCCATTGGAATACAAAAAACTAGACTGGTATTTGAGCCGCTAGATGACACAGCATTTCTGAAAGGGTCCATTGTCCCACTCGGATGGTCATTAAAAAAGAAAAGAAGCATCCTCACCTGTGGGGCAACCGCGACAAATTCGGCGATGCTTTCGTTGGCGCCACAGGTGGTATTGATGTCTCCGCTGATGTTAAGGAACCTCAGGCCAAAGAGGGTTCCGGCGGACAGGCTGAAGGCTGGATCGTTGGCGTCACGCAGGGGCAGCTCTTCCTTTACGTCGAGTGCGGCAAAGCCCGCGAGGAGTAGTCTCCGTACGTTGTTGACGTGCTCATCGCTGCACGTTCCGTTCGGGACACTTGCATGAGCTGGAACGCGAGGAAGACAGAGGGCACGTCGTCAATTGCGGAGCGCTCATCTCCGTTTCAGGTTAGCTAGGAGAAGGGCGAAAACCAAGGCCTGCTGAGCCAGTCTGAAAAACAAAACAAAAAAAAAAAAAAAAAAAAAAAAAAAAACAGGACCGACGCAGGTTGCAGTTCCGCACGGGAGAAGTGGATTCAAACAGTGCGTTTCTACGTGCTCCGATTCAATGTCCTGATCGGCTTGTGAGGACTTCTTCACCAATTATTACGTTAACGAATGAAGGCGGTAGGGCCTTAGGTTGGTCTAGTTGGTGCATGCCTTATCCAAGGCTAAACAGCGGTAAGAGAGACGAAGGACACAATCAACATATCTGTGCATAAAAGGAGCTGTACATAGACTCTGCGTTCACTTCTTTTATTCGATTCGCTTCACATCATCAGTGTGACAACAGGACAGGTCACAGCCTTTCTAGATGGCACAGTATATCCTCGCGTCTAACGCCTGCTTCTTTGTAGGCTTGTCAATGCATGCTTCAGAGGCCTGACATCTTGGAAAGACAAAAAATAAGCTCGTTAGCAATGACCGCTCCTAGAGTCACTGAATGTTCCTCAATGTCACTGAATGTCACTAAATGAACATTCAGTTACTTTAGAAGTTCCATTGACCGATCTCACAAAGCGTTCCCGTATGCGTGACGCCGCCATATTTGCAGTTTATACAAGGCAGGCGCCAGTTCACAAGACAGTTCGTGCCGCTTCGTGCTCTGCTCGCGCGGACCCCTAGCTGCGTTATCGTTCGTGCAGCATATTTATTCTGTACTCTCATTCCTTTTTCATCTATGGACGATTCTACAGCCACTAAAAGAGCTACTCTTAAAGCCTGGTTCAGAAAAAAATTGGGTTGTGTGTGTGTGTTTATACAGCCTAGAACTTGGTCTGCTTCACAGGGGCGACGAGTCTCCCAGCTGTAGATGAGAAATTTTCTTTAACGTGCATCACGCAGTAGTGATACACGACCGCACGCCGGTACGATGCTCATCCAGATCGAAATGGGCAGAGGGGGGGGGGGGGGGGGGGGTAGAACCCAGGATCCCTGGGTTCTGCAGCGCGAGCTTTCGCTCCACGTGCTTCGAGCTGGTGTGCGCTAGACCACTCGGCCACCGATCCCCCGCCTGGTTCAGACAGTTCCGTTTGACTGCGTTTGACTGCGTTGCGGGTGCGAGAAACCAGGACATCCCTGCAGCTTATATCGCGTGCCAAGACCATTTCTTCAATTTGATTCCGCGCTTCATATGATGCACAGATATGCCGGTGACCCGCTTTTGGTTCTCGACGCAACGCAGTCAAACGCACTCAAACGCAAGTGTCTGAACCGGCCGGTTCAGACACTTGCGTTTGAGTGCGTTTGAGTGCGTTGCGTCGAGAACCGAAAGCGAGTCACCGGCACATCTGTGGTTTGAATCAAGCGTGGAATCCAACTCAAGAAACCATTTTGGCACGCCATATAAGCAGCAGGGATGTCCTGGTTTCTCGCAGCCGCAACGCAGTCAAACGCAGTCAAACGCAACTGTTCGAACCAGGCTTTAAACTGCCGGCACTCTGTTTCCCGATGTTGTTGCAGGTGCCACACCGGCCCTCCTCTCAACTTACTAATGAAAATCACTGACAATCATACCTGTAAATCATCTAATCTGATATACATTATTTTCTGCACACTCTGTCCTACCTTTCGTTCATGGAGTCGGCGGTCAGTTTCGCCGATAGATACATATATCGGCAAAACTGACCGCCGACTCTATGAACGCTTCCAAGAACACCGCAAAAATACTTGTTACACTAGAAAGAGCGGGTCAACTTAAACAAGGCCTCAACAGACACTTATGTAAACACTTCTTCACGAATCATTCTGAACTCCATTTGCGAGGATGCGTCATCAAACCAGCGTGCCAGATGCCCGTCGTTGGTAGGGCACGTAAAACTCCCAAATTTGACTTTTTTCGCCCGCTCCTCTCTCTCTCCCTCTCTCCCTTTTAATTTTTTTTTTGCTAATTTGGGTGGTTTTGCGGACTGCCCTAAGCTTTACCCTCGCCCGCATTCCTTCACTTATTGACTAGAGACCTCTTGCATTGTACTTGAGAACTTTTCCCCTCAGCCTCTGACTCCATGACGCCACACCTCTGAAACGTGTTTTCTCCGCCTTTCGTATATAAGAGGTATATATGCTTCGATCTGCCATCTCCCATTTTAGTATACCCGAAGAAGACACCGTTTGGTCGAAACGTTGTTCCCCTCCTTTCCTCTGGCAGTTCTCTATGCCTTCACATCCCTTTTAATATACTAACAGTGCCCGGCATAATAAAAATAATTGGTGGTTGTGTGGATATTTATACAACGTTGGTCAGCCATTTCAAAGTTGCGACGAGTCACTCACTGTAGATGAGCAATTTAGCCACTGCAGTACAACCGCTAGTTTGGGGTCTTTAACGTGCAGCACGCAGTAGGGTGATTCCGCGTCAGTTCATGCAATGGTGGTCCGGGTCATAAATCTGATATTTTTGTCAAAAATATATATGAAAGCCATGTTCTTGGGTGAAACGTTCCGCTATATATGAACGCCGTAACGTTGTTTTTCGCTGAGATATAAAATAGAGAAGCTTGAGGCGTGGAAATCGAGAAGATTTTACTATGCTACTTTGCACAGTCGTCATTTTCTCATCGAAGCTTTCACGTTACCATAACTTTTTTAATAAATTTCACAAGAGATATACAATACATATGTAAAAAAGTAAAAATATCAATAACATATTTCTATGCAAACAAAAAAGTCAAACATGGCATAAAGACACGTTTTAGAGACATATTCACATTTTTTTTTGCAAATAAACTATCTCTATAATACTTAAGAAAACATATCAAAATGCGCGCCTTTGAATTATCTTTACGAATGTATAAAGATAATATGCCCACCCTTAATTGCCTTCTTGTTATTAACGCGGAAATGCGGCTGATTTCCCAAAATGTGTCAAGATAGGGCGTCGGTATTTAAAAAAGTCCATCTTTTTTTTTTTTTTTTTAAACTCTCCTTGGCAGTTTGCAGTGACATGAACTAACCTGTGATGGCAAAACATTGAGTAACATATGACCTCCGAACGGGAAAAGCTGCGACAAACCTTCACTCGGAGTGAGCCGACGTCTCGTTATAGCGGCTTTGCCGCATAACGTCTCCTTCATGGAAGCGTCAAAAGCTGGAAAGCGGGACTCTGTCGTAGAGAGCGGAAAGTCGTGCTGTTCCGAGCATTGCTTTCACGTTGTGTGAAGAAAAAGACAATTAAGGGTAGGCATATTATCTCTATACATTCGTAAAGAATATTTATAGGCGCGCATTTTGATAAGTTTTGTGAAGTATTATGACAAATGGTGTATTTGCGAAAAAATTGTGAAAATGTCTCTGAAACGCGTTTTTATGCCATGTTTGATAGTTTTGTTTGCATAGAAATAATTTATTGATATTTTTACTTTTTTGTGTATGTGTTGTATATCTTTTGTAAAATGCATTAAAAAGGTATGGTGACGTGAAAGCTTTGATGAGAAAATGACGACTGCGCAAAGTAGCATAATAAAATCTTCTCGATTTCCACGCCACGAGCTTCTCTTTTTTATATCTCGGCGAAAAAATTTGTTACGGCGTTCATATATAGCTTAGTGTTCATCCCAAGAACATGGCTTTCACATATATTTTTAACAAAAATATCAAAATTATGACTCGGACCATCATTGCATGGACTGACGTGGAGTCACCCAGTAGTGATACGCGACCGCACGCCGGTACGATGCTCATTCAGATTGAAACGGGCAAGGGGGGGGGGGGGGGTTTGAACCCAGGATTCTTGAGTTCTGCAGCGCAAGCTTTCTCTCCACGTGCTCCTAGCTGGTGTGCGCTAGCCCACTCGGCCACCGATACCCCCTGCCCGGCAGAATCCCATATCTTCAGTGAATTAAGAACCAGGGTGTTTGAAGAAGAGGACTTCTGGCGAGACGAGCCGAGCGCTTTCCGCGTGTTGGAGCCAGTTGGCCACGCTATTTCCGAATCTTGAGTCAGACACTGCTGTTCTCTCAGATGTTCATGAGAGCTTCAAGGTAACAAGTCATGTCGAACAGGCCCTTCCGGATTCTGCCTTGACCACCAACGAAAAAAAAGCAAAAAACAGCAGAAATCCCGCGTGAGCGACGCAACGTTATATGTCGTCCAGCGAATGCGGCCGCAAATTTGCTTGGCCCGAACTACAGAGGAATGTGCTTGAGTGAAAAGAATGTATACCATATGAATTGCATCGCAGTAGTGGCAAAGAGGTTAGGTCTTGATGCCAGAAAAGGGCTTTTTAATCTGGCTGGATATAGAACCCTGTCAAGAGCGTGGTCAAGGAAGGAACTGGACGATTCGGCCCGTGACACCGATTGCCTGTCGCCTACTTCAAGTTCCACCATCCACCGCTGCGCGAGAACAAAGCTGGCCTAAGGTCGCCACTGTCCACACCAAAAGTAGAAACAGTATTAAGAGACACGGAGTGCAAAAGCTGGTGTTTGTGCGCTCCAACGTCAGTCTGAATGGTCTTGATCTAACATACGACGGCGGAAATGGCTCAAGCGTGGAGTCAGGGTAGCCGCAATCTACCTACTGCTTTGGAGCGTGCTTCTTGTTCAGCAAATATCTACTTGGTCAATCGTAGTTTGTTTCAAGATCGGTTGTGTTCTGTTCGTAATAGTCACAGCTCTACTCTTGGAAGAGAGTGGGAAATGATACAATAAATCAACGTTCAACTTGCACTATCTTATTTAGAATTCATGTATTGCTTTTACTTGAATAGTTAACATAAATAAATGGTCCATCAATCATGATGTTATCTTAGTATTTATGAATGAACACACACACACACACACACACACACACACACAGACAGAGACACAGACAGACAGACACACACACACACGCACACACATATATATATATATAACTGAGAAGAAAAGAAGCCTTTGGTGAAAGCAGCAACAACGGACGATTTATTCTTCGAGGTTTCAGCCGGAGTCCAGCCTTCGTCAGGAAAGCTGACGAAGGCCGGACTCCGGCCGAAACGTCGAAGAATAAATCGTCCGGACGGTTTATTCTTCGACGTTTTGGCCGGAGTCCGGCCTTCGTCACCATGCCCGCCACCATGCCCGTTATTATATATATAGGTATGCACTTGCAGGTGAAGCAGTGGATGCCTGACTGTTTATTACGGGAGCAATGGTCTCGTTGACTAACATCGTGTTCTACTGCTGACAGAGCAGTCGAAGCCGCATTGTTTGAGAAGGATGTCATAGATGAAATAAAAAATTGTGTTTTTAGACGCTATCACAAATTACAGCAACACACTTGAAACAGCACTAGAAGTCATATTTCCTCTATTTTATACTTTTTCCTAACCTATCTCGATATAACGTTTTTCAAAACTTTTTCCTATGCTGCCACGCGAGCCCTGCCTGACAACGAAACAAATGGTTAATGATTTTTTGTGCAACCAGGAGCAGACTACCACAAGCGCTTGAGCTATCTACCTAGCTATACCACTGTCGTACTGCATCTCTTTCTTATCGGCTGAGAAACGGATATACCGGCTTCTTGCAAGAAAATGAAACCCAATTTTCGGTCCGCATAAAGAACGCATAGAAATTTTGAAGTCCCAGAGAATGTGGCGCTAGTGGTGGTGATGGAATAGGAAAGTTTGAGAACATGACGTTACCGGGATTAAAGTATAAAACTGGAATACAGACTTCTTCTGTTGGTCCACGTCCACGTAAGTCTAAGAATCGTCAAACCGAAAAATAGGATTTTGGGTGCCTGCAGCATTTATAGTAATGCAAAAATCTGCCAGCAAGCAAGAAATCTATACTGCCTGTTTTCCTGACTAACGTCTTTTAAAAAAAATGAATGAAACAGTATAGTTCCCACGGTATCATTTTCTGGTTTAAGGAATACTGGCGTAGATGGACGTCGGCTCAGAAAATGTGGGCACCTCTGATATATCTTTTGATACAAAAAAACGTAATGTCCGCAAAAGCTTTCGCATTCTGTCACCACCACTAGTGCCACATTCTCAATATTATTAAGAATTTTGTGATGTGCAGTTCATTTATGCGAGCCGAAACACTGTTTTTTTTTTCTCTGACGACCCCGGAATTTAGTATACCGCGATTATTATCCCTCCACCTGCTTTCTCAACGAAACGAGAGGAAAACATGCATGTCATGTCTATTTTCAATTTTGACGCAATCATTACTTTCCAAATAAACTTTCGCTCAAAAGATTAGCTTAACAGGTTTGTTAATTTCTGAAAAATCTGAATATCGTCTACTTTTTCCAATTTTAATGTCATATATATATATATATATATATTTAATTTTTTTTCCCGAGCTTTCGCATTCCTACATATAACTCTCCTCCAGAGGCGGAGTCGCTCCCCTCTGCTCTGTTTCGAATGCGTTTGTGTCTTTTTTGTTCCGGAGAGCGTGAAAGAGCGTATCCCGGCACGAGCTCTCGGCATTCAAAGTGCTACATTGTCATTTTGTTATAGTTTTTTGTTATTCATTTTTTTAGAGAGCGCGTGCAGGGGGAATTGGGTACTACAAAATTCCTAAACTCTGTGGCGTAGTTCAGTGCTGACGTCTCCGCTTCGCACGCGGAGGACCCGGGTTCGATCCCTGCAGGCGACGTCAAGCAATCTTTTAAAATAATTTTGCAACATCGACGACGGACGCCCTACATCGCCAACTACTACAACTGCAACATCAACAATGGATGTCATTTGCAAAGTTGGGAAGATTCCGTAACAACTAATGCCATAAAAGAAGCACTCACCAGCAATCGCGAAGACGGCCAGCAGCACAAACGAAGCACGAATCATGGCAACACCGTGAGACAAAATGTGGAAAAAAAGACAATGGATCCCCGACACCTTGGGTGCGTTTATAAAGACCCAGGCGCGTATTTCCCCGATAAATGTGCTTCGCCGACTCGACCTCTTATCGACAACAAACATCGTGCCTACCGGGCATGATTAGATAGTGCGGATTTTTCCCGACCTGTTACTGTGTTCGTGATAGATTCTCACATTATAGTAATTTGCGCCGTTATAAGCGTCCGCTTGACAATGAATGTCCCTTGATAGCGAGCTTGCTCGCTGGATCTAAAGTCACTGTATCTGGAAAATTAGCGCCATTGCCTTCCCACCTGCTAGCCGGACACAAACAAATGCCACCATACAGACGACGAAACCTCTAAAAGTGATTGGCTCATCGCTATCGGTTACCATGGTGATCGCCATTTCGGACCCTTTCAAAGCTTCGAAGCTTGGAAAAGGGCCACTATAACCAGTCGCGCCAAGATCGCTATGGAGCATCATCGTACTGAAAGCGTATACCTTGGCCGATACGAGCGTCTTTGGCACTGTGCATGCAATAAACTTATCACACACTCATGATTATTTCCCCAGATCTCTTACAGTTATGTTTCTCTTGTTGCGTGTATCAAGACAGTAAAATAATTTTTCAATTTCCGCAAGCACTGACGCCGCGTGTGATACCGCGCATCTTCGCACTGCCATCATACGCAGTGTCAGTGCTTGGGGGCATTGAAAAATAATTTTACTGCCTTGAAACACACAAGAAGAGCATCATAATTGTAAGAGAGCTAAGAAAATGAGAACGAGTGATAGGTTTATAGCATGCACAGTGCCGAAGTCGCTCGGATGGGCTCGGCAATCATCGTGGGGCGATGACCGCTAAACTGTTAGTCTCCCTTATACAGATACTCTGCTTTCCGGAACGTGGCCCCTCTCAACCCGTTCAACCGCCCGAGCCAGCTCCCGCCACTATCTTCAGGACGGATAGGCCCTTTCGTGGCAATGAAAGATTCCGACTCATCACGCAAAGCTGATTTCCGGGGTCTCACACTGGTGGATCCTCGGCACTCCAGCACGGTAGCGCTTCCGTCGACAACAGCCTTGTCAATCATTACAAAAGACCGCACGTTCCGGCAGTTCGCCCATGGCGATCTTTTTTGGTTCGGCGTCCGAAGTGGACGGCTGCTACTGAGCTGCGTCCGCTGTCGTGTCGAAGCACGTTGGGTTGTTCCTGCTGTCGTACCTAGCGCCGAAAACCTCGCCGTTATGAGCGTCGACCTTCAGCCTTTCTTCTGGGGCCTCCTGGGCGACGCCCAACCTTGCCGGCTCTACCGCAAGCAATTACCGGGGGGCTCGTGCAGGGCCGCTCCAATCCCCCTTGCCGAGGACGAGATGACTGACGGCCGATCTTTGTCCAAAGGTGACAGGCCCACCTACCACCTGGAGCCGGAGCGCGTGCCGTCGGTGGCCCATCCGCCTTCCCGACAACGCAGCTTATCCAAGCTAACGGAATACGTCGAATGTGCTACGCCAGGTGCTGTCAGAGAAGTCGGCGTCAACAAGGCAAGGAACTTAATTGCGGTGGAAGCACGGACACCAAAGCTCAAGGGAGTTCTCCTAGACCTCAAGGTACTCTGCAACACTCCTGTCCGAGACTCCTCCCCAATCCCCCGAACACCTACCTGCATCGGGCTGCTCAGGGACGTGGAACTCGGCCTTTCTGACGCCGACATCTGGAATCAGATACGGGCTCCAGTCAAGATCTGGGACGCGCTGCGACGTGGGGAAAGTCTGAAATCATGAAAATTGTCTCTCTCGGAAAGACTTGGCCGACTCCCTCCTCTACGGGCTAGCTCGAACTCCGGCCCTGCCTTTCAAGGTAAAAGCCCTGCGGTGTCGCCGGTGCCTCCGTTACGGCCATATATCCGCCGTCTCCAATCGTCCCCAAGCATGCGCACGATGCGGCGCCTCAGACGACAGCGAGTGCAAATCATCCGAGCCGAAGTGCATCAATTTTCGTCAGAGTCACGAGGCCACGCGTCCGTCCTGCCCAACCCGACGTCGAGAGGTCGGCATCTCGCGTTACCGCTGAGAAAACTGCGCAACTTCCAGGGATGCTCGCGAAGCACTCCGCAACTCCTCGTCAGCCAAGCCAGACAACAAGTTAGGCATGACGAAAATAATCACCAAAGAAGAGGAACAAGAGGGGCAAAGGACAAACACAAAGCTCCAAACACAGCTAGGTGACTGGTGCGCGACCGAAACAATCCGCCTGGATTTTTTCATTATAATTATAATTATTCAGTCAAGTCACGCAGTGCGCAGGGCAACACCCCCTCAGACAAAAATGTACCCCCAGCCGCGCGTCCTTCCCCAATCGACACTCATGCACCGGCGGTGCCACGCCCTACCTGCCAAGAAAACGACGCCACTCCCGGTACCAGCCACTCAGCCTCCGGCACCACGGTAAAACAGACCTGGGCAGAAACTGTCAAAAGCTCGAAGCCATCAAATGGCCGCGTCACCCAAGCTTCTCGGCAAGGCGCTGCAGTCCCGCCATCTACAGGCCATATATGGAAACGAAAAGGGGGCGGCGGCTTTCATATAAAAGCCGCCGCCCCCTTTCCGTTGCATCCTTTCAAGTCCATTGTAACCATAATCTTCGCCGCCGTGCGCGATCTAATCCACATCCTGCCAACATCCTCGTTCCGTAAGTTCCTGGAAGCCGTCCTAGCGCTCGAGGGCATCGTAGGGACGCTGCTCTGAATCTCGAGTGGCAGAGTTACCCTTATCCCCGCTGATGCCTCCCTCAGTGTATCGGTCCCTCGCCAGAGAGTGACGACAGACCCCTGTGGCTGTACGGTGGAACTGTGCAGGACTGCTGATCAGACTGGCAGAGTTGTCCCTCTAAGTCCAAAAATAGAAGATTCCCATTTTAGCTCATTGCGAGGCTGGTCTCTTAGGAAACCGCAGCATCCCTAGGTACTTCGCCTATAAAAACCCTTCAATACCAAGCTTTACCAACGGCAGCGCTGAGCTCTATATCCAAAAGGATATGTCTCACCACATCGTGGATGTCTCTGACCTCTGCATAGTTAACCGAGACCTCGTTGCAGTGCATGCTGAGATCGCCGGGCGGCGCCTCACTATTATCTCAGTTTATGTCCGCCCATGAGGGGGCGCGGCGGAGGTCGCCGGTTTAGTGGAATGCCTGCGCGCCAGGCTCACCGATCCGGTTTTGATCTGTGGGAACTGGGACGCTCATCATGCTCTTATTGGGGGGGGGGGGGGGGGGGAGGGAGGTAGGTGGGGGAGGGGACACCAGAGAAGACGGAAGGGGCAGGATGTTGGGAGATCAGTCTACGGAAAACAACCTTGTTGTGGCCAACCACGGTTCCCCGACTTTCTTCCGGCCTCCCTCCCCTTTTAGTGCCATCGACGTCATAGCCCACTCACCGGAGATCCCACTGTCATGGCGGGTTGCAGCTGACACCATGGGCAGTGATCACTTTCCAGTCTTCATCGACATTATAAGCCTACAACGTCCTGGGGTTCACGACGTATCAGTCATTCACTGGGATCGATTCCAAGAGAACCTAGGACGATCTACATGACCCCTCTTGGGAGGCCATCAGCGACGCAGCGAAGAAAGCCACAATCAAGGCAACCGTGCCTACATCGTTTCCTGCACCCGACCTGACTCTCCTAAACCTTTGTGCAGGAAGACGGCGGGTCCAGCGACTTCTGCAACGTAAGGGTGGCGTGACCTTCAAGACCGTCTTCAACAGGATTGACGCTGCCCTACGACGCTACGTCAAAAAATGGTGCAAGCTGCCAGTCGGATTCAATCTGCTCTTCGGTGGATGCAATTACACCAGCCCGTCGTATCAGAAGGCTTATGGACTGTCTGTCTGGGGAAAGAAAGTTCAGCCTCCCATTCGCTTCTCTGACCCTCTGTACGGGAAAGCTACTAACGACCCTGGCCGAAGACTTTGCCACTCTATATGCCGCCGCCGTTTCCCAGCCAAACACGCGCTGCCGTGCGGATAAAGCACTTTGCTGCATGGATGCCCCTTTAACGGATTCTGAACTGCAGATCCGCTCTGAAAGCCTGCAAGCGACGAGCGGCACCGAGACCAAACGGGGTCACAACACAAATGTTGCAGAATCTTCCCGATTCACGTTTCCAGGAACTTCGTTTGTAGTTCAATAATATCTGGGCCTCATTTAAATTTCCAGCGGTTTGGCGACGGGCATGGGTGGTCCCCGTACTCAAGAGCGGCAAACGCGCCGGAGACTTATCGTCCTACCGGCCGGTGTCTTTAACCTCATGTGTTGCCAAGCTCTTTGAGCGGCTGGTACACGCCCGCTTGATCTGGTGGCTGAAGGAACACGATTTCCTCCTGTTAACTATGACTGGGTTCAGGTCTCGTCTCTCCGCACAAGAAAGCATCCTGGACATTGTCAGTGCAGTGCAGCATGCAGCAGCTAACCGTACGTCTACCGTGGCGGCGTTCTTCGACATCCAGGCCACCTTCGACAATGTGAAACCGGCATCATGCAGCCCTGGCCCAACTAACCACTCCGGGTGTCACGGGAAAAGTTCAGGGCGTCCTCGAGGGTTTCCTCTCAATCCGATCGATTCAAGTCAAACTCGGCAACACACTCAACCAATTAAGACCTGTACACCGTCGTCTACCCCAGGGCAACGTTCTGTCGCCTCTACATTTTAACATCGCCACCGCGGGCTTCCCAGCCACTCTTCCCAGCTCAAAGGTCCCGATTGGCATCTCCATGTACGTGGATGACTTATGCACCTGGGTCTTTGGCTTCCGGCACCCGAGCTTAAGGGTCATAATGCAATCTGCCATAAACATGATCCAGGCCTTCCTTTAGGACCAAGGTCTTTCGATTTCCGGCCACAAGGCAGCATCCTCGATCTTCGTAGGAAGGAATCACCGGTTGCGGGAAATCAAGCTTCAACTGCCGCCTCCCAGCCCCTGCGCCTTGTGTCAAAGCACTGGCGGATCTTTTTTGGTCTGAGGTCGATGCTTCCATATAATAAAAACAAACTAATTT